CCCTCACAATTGAGTTCTTCTCTCACAATTAGTTATTGTAATTCACAGTTTTTATCTCGCAATTCTGACTTTTCTCTCTGAATTCTCTCAAGTTTACATCTCAATTTTTTTTAGTTTCAAACAGAATAAAAAGGTAATTGCAACTTTTTCCTACAATTCTGATTTTTTTTCTTGCAACTGCGACTCCATTTTTTTTCTCAGAATTGCGGAGAAAAAGAGTTGCAATTACCCTTCTAATTTTTTTATTCCATGGTGAAAACTAGCTTCCATAATTTTGTGAGACAATTAAAAAAGCACACTCAAAATAGACAAAATAGGAATGGTTCATCCAACACAAAGTATGTTCCTTCACTTTTTCTGAGGATCGACACTCTTAATAGATTTCGCCATGTAGCACCAAACTGTATCAAACGCACAAGAACAGGCTATTCTGCAATGCAATCTTCCCCACTAAGTTTTTAGTGTAACTTAATTACTTTGGCATGGTGTTTCCAAGAGCTGTCATGTGCTGCAAGATGAGAACAAACTTCTGCCTACAAGCAGAATCGCCTCAAAATGTATGCATTAGAGGCATGCTTTCTTCAAAAGAATAATCACACAAGAAATACACCGTTTCATTAACAATCTGTATAAGTGAAAAGGTGCTACTTTAGAAGAGGAAGACCATTTAGAAAGCCATCTAGCTGGTATTTTCATGGAACCATTAACCATTGCTGGTGAATTTAGTCTATTTTGTGATAAAAAATAGTTTTTTTACAATGTTTGTACGGATGTCTGATGTCTTCATCAGATTGGATCAGTTGAATTTAGCAGGGAAAGTTCATTTTCAGTCAGCCGCTTTGGGGTTGGAGTAAATATACACATATAAAAAAGCTTTATATACACACAGAATCAGCTTATCATAAATATGGATCTGACACAGAGCCACACTTTCTTTTTTTCTCCTTTCAAAAAGGTAAATAAAAAAGAAAGTTCTTTTAAGTACACTACTCTCATTGTATGGTGTGTTTGGAGGTCAAAGGTTGGCAATGGGAACGTCAAAGAGGTCACAAAGGCCCTCCGTCTCATCCAGGTTATAGATGTAGTCATGGTCACCCGGAGGAGGGGATAGACGGAGGAGCGGAGAGAAAACTATGAAAGAGAAAGAGAGAAGAGTGATACTATGGCCATGTTTGTGTAACAATATGAAACTGTCTACCAGTTGCTCCTTTGATTTTTCATCACACCCATCATGATGCCATTGAGCATTTTTTTTCTAAAATGGATACAATTTCAGTTGACAGTCAAATTTGAACTACTTTTATTGATTATATTCATAATAGAATACATAAACACAGGATTTGTTATATACATAAACATCCAAACTTCCATTTCATGTTTAGTAATAGACTATATACAGGTGGCCTGACTCATGCTCGGCTTTACCTTCTGATGACATCAGCTCCTCAAGCAAATCTGTACTCATAATTTCTGTATGGAGAAAGGAAACATGACATATGAAAACAATTCTTCTTTGTGCTACATAAAACCACAGATTCTCTGGTTCAGTTAAGCGTATCAGCAATGTTGCCTCTAAGCTGCGTACACAGCCGCACACTTCTTATGTCGCAGCCTCACAGAAGAAATATGTAGAGCACAAGACAGACACAAAAATGTGTTGGTGAAGCCATTTGATTGAATTCTAGTAAATCCAAAAGAATTGCAATTCTCGGGCAAACGGTAACAAAACTCTAAGACATTTACAGTTACACACAGGTGTAGTGTGCAAACATGGGATGTTTTAGATAACTGTAAAATAATTCAAGGTTTTTTTTATTGAAAATATTTGTTTTTTTTATATTACATTATATTATAAGCGTAATAAATAAACGGAATTCATGAGCAATAACTGCTCAATTTTTTCATATATTATATTATTGTAAAGAACTGTTCTGAGTGAGATTTTTTTAATGATTTTTTTTAAATAGAATTTCTTGGTAAAAATGTTTTCTCAGGTAACCTAAAATGTGCATCATTTAGTTAC